TTTTTTGACAATGCTACCACGACAGCCGACGAAGGGCACATATACCAAACGCACGACGAATTGTGTGACTCCTACAAAATCTCCCGGCTGTATGCGTAACGAGTTATCCCAACTGAGTGTGCGTGCCATGACTACATGCGTTCAACCGGAAGTGGAAACAGATGATGACGTTGTTTGTATGGATATACAGCGAGCGACATCGAACAAAACTCCGATAGTGAAACGACATTATGACGCTATGTGTACGGACATGCAGGCGACGACTTCTAGCAAAGTGCAAGAGGCGATTATTACGTTATTTCCGGATGGAGATGCGTTGGACGACTGGATATATTAGTACATCAGTGGATTTACATTCGTTTTGTTCTTATCTTTTATACTTTTCTTGAGAATTACTAAGACGTTGCATATGCACACGTAGTATAAAATAGGTTTATGAAAATGCTTTATACTAAAAATGTGAAATTAACTTAAACTGTGAGTTGTTAGACCTTAAGCACGAAACTTAACGTTAACACGAATGCTTTTTTATATGGAATCTGTATATTGCAATAAAGTTGCACCAATGTGGTGTATATAGTGTATATAAAAAAAATTAAAGGACAGAGCTGGATATTTGTAGAAGGTTAAACCCTTACTTATACGGATCCGACGCCGTCATATCTAACGTAACGAAATTGAAAGACAGACACTTGCTATTCATAGAACTTCTGCAAGCTTTACTCGACGAAGAATCAATAGGGGTATTCTCTGAGTCTTGCAAAGCCGGTGCACTTGTTCGCTTCGTCTGTGCAGCAACAAGTTGTGCACTGCACGAAAATGTTCGACAGTGTTGCATAAATGTGTATACTACTACACTGGGTGGCTTTGCGTTAACCGCATTTAATCAACTGCAGCGCCACCCTAAAAAACTTGCAGATACTGTGCTCACTCTCTGCCACATACCCGACAGACACCACTGAGACGACACCTTTCTTCCCAACGAGAAAATATACTTTTCCACCACGCACAGAGTACACTGCCGACGTGCAATTGGCGCTCTCGGCAGCAGCCAGCTGGTAAAGTATAGATACTTTCGGATGAAAAGATACTCAGTTGGAAGGGCACAACAAGCAGCAGGTAGCACCTCCACATCTACATACATACGTACAAACGTATCTAGCTGTCCGCGAGTAAAATCATTGACTTTAGCCATTCTCTTGCAGGTTTGTGTTTAGTTTTACGAGATCTGCTGTCGTCGACGGACGTGTGTGCACGGAATAACAACGGGATATAAGTAGTAGAAAAAGTAATTGTTTTGTGGGCGTAACGACGAAAACGAATTGAACTTGGGCAGAGGCAGGCACAACGTCTCTGTGAGTGTGTGTGTGTGTGGGTGCGGATATTGTTTTTCAAGCGTTTTTTCGTATGCGGCGCCGTTTCATTTACATACATAAAACTGTTTTTTTTTGTTGTTGTAAATCCTTAAATATATAACAAGTACTTCTCTTGTAGATTTTTCAGTTAAGTGCCGAGCCGAAAAATTTAGAACAAGTCCATAGTATGAAATAAGAGATTTATTAGATACAAGCGAATTCTATCAAAGAAATGTGAATTTTTGCTCTGGTGTTGTCCGTATGGTGAGACGTGCGCAGAAAACTGATTTTGCATTGAAAATTTAAAAACAAAAACATAAAAAATACTAAATGCTGAAAATAATACTATTTTGAAAATCAAAGTATCTAAACATTCATAAGCACTTACATACACATATCTAGTACCGCGTAAAATTATTAATGTTGCCAAAATACTACTTACGAAGCTAAAAGTTTAATTAAAAAAAAATCCCTTTAAATGTCTGTATTTTGTGAAGAAATAAACGTGCAAAGTGTTAGTGTTGAATTTCCTGTTTGAAATTCTTTGCCTACTTTTTTCACTCGCCAACAACTACATACGCTTTACGGTATTCTTGGTTTGCCGTGCCGCTTTTGGAGTGCAACATACTTGTCTAGCCAGCTTGAATAAAGTGGCTAGCGCCAAACGTGGAAGTCGCTTCTAAAGGTAGCTAACTAAAATATGTATGTATGTATTATAAAAAAATATTGAACAAACAGGCTATATAATTAAGTAGGAGTATGTATATATTTTGGTAGCCACGATTGAGTTTCAGAAATTGATTTTTAGTTCACCGCTTTGAATTTTTATTTTGTCTAATATTTAGTTATACATACATATGTATGTAGGTACATTAGTGCAAAAAAAAAGTGATAAAATGTGAAAAAAACTAAAAATTTATACTATACTTCTTGAGTTCTGGGCCATATGTAGGGCTTAATAGTCTTATCTTCCCTGCGAGCCAGTTGAGTTATTTCAGCTGTTCAGTTTCATTTCATAACTGAAAACCTTGCAATTTTCACATAATTTACTGTGCTTCTGAACAATGAAGTGCCTACAATTGCAATCCTCGTATTAATAATTTAATTTTCTAAAAATATATATTTATATGAAAATAAAACAACGCGTAAAGGAAGTCGTAATGAAAATGATAGAACGCAAAACAAATGGTTAGTCACTCAGTCAACTAGGCAACCAATCAGTCATTTAGTCTCTCAGTTTTTCAGCTACTCACTCGATCAGACAGTGCGCCACTTTTGTGCCGCTTTGCTTTTGGCCAAGCAGGCAGGCAGGCAGGCAGGCGAGCGGACAGACTCAATATGATGCAAACACCAAACAGGCAACGAACTAGGCATGAGCGTATACAAAAATATACAATAAATGGAAAGGTGCACAAAAATATATACCTAATACACATGCATCAGTATGTACATATGTATGTATGTACCTTCTAAGAAAATATTGTAGAACTCAAAATATTATTACTAATAACAAAATAGGTACTTTGCCTTGTGCTGGCAACGGCTATCTATTGGATTTACATTAATGAATTTCATAAAGAAGTAGTAATTTGCATTTTTATGACGCATTTGTTCGCATAGGAATATGGACATTTGGGCCGTGTGAGAGCAGAAGTGGCCTAACCATAATTTTTTTTTTTTTTTGTACTTACATACATAACCACTTAAAATAATTTCAAATGTGCTACATTTTAAAATAAAAGTCGCTTAATCTTTAATTTTAAGGTTCAAAGTTACATAAAACTATTATTTATTATTTTAAAATGTAACAAAAATTATTTAAACCAGGGACGGTAATCATTATGTGTAAAATAATTTAGATCAGCATTTAATCATTATTTTATGATTTTTATTTTTTCACTTAAAAATAGTAATTATTATCGAGTTTTATTTTTCGCTCAACAGAAATAATTATTATTTAATTTTTTTTATTTTTTTTTATTTTCCACTTATAAATACTGATTATGTATTTATAAAATTTAAAAGGTTATACAGACACAACCAACTGAAATTTTGACATGAAAGGTCTGGGACTTACTCCTCTCGAAAAATAAAAATCATTCTAAATTACAATAGGACTTATGAACACAAATACGTGAGTATAGTTAAAACTGCTTTACGATGATTACAATATGTTGAATTTTTTGGTTAAAAAATAATGATTACAGTGGTCGAAATAATTATAGCCGCACCACATTTTGACAAGTTTTAACATATTAATTTTGGTTGTTTTTTTTTATAAAAATATAGTTCATTCTTTAGCAAAACCCATGTAAATACAAGTTTCTAACTTTGTGCAATATTTAAAAAAAATCGAAAAACTTTCGTAAAAAAATCTAACTTTTTTAATTAGATTTGCTAGTATGCAGTTTTGTAGCCCATTGAATTCTAGATTTTTTTTTTGTCCAGGATGTTCCGGGTTTCTTCCACATAAAAATAATTTGTGTGTATTCGTTACATGGAAGCAAATAGGACAAAAAAAAAGCTAAAAAATCAACCGTAATTTTTAGCCATTTGAAACTTGCACTTTGTTCTACTAGAATTCTATGGGCTACAAAACTGCATACTCAGAATCTTTCTAGGAAATCTAAATAAAAAAGTTAGAAATGTTTACGAAAGTTTGTTGAATTTTTTTAAAATATTGAACAAAGTTTAAAACTTGGATGTACACGGGTTTTGTTAAAGAATGAACTATAATTTTATAAACAAAAAAATACCAAAATTAAATAACAACAAAATATGTTAAAACTTGTCAAAATGTGGTGCGGCTATAATTATTTCCACCACTGTATTTTCCTACCAGAATTGGCCTCAAATTTTTGCCATCCATTTATTTTAGCATGCAGTCGGAAAACCTTCAGACCCCATTTCCGAATAAGAAGTTACTTTACTAAGAGTTTTACCTAATGGGTATTCCAACTTAAGTCTCTAGGGTAATTCTAAGATATTTAACTTCAACAGAGTATTCAAGCACAAATCCTTCAAGATTAACCGAATCAAGCAAGGGTCGACTTACATACCCTTGTGGTCTGCCGATTAAGTTAAGTGACATTTTGACCAGTTTTGGCAATTTTTATTTTGACTATTTAATGTTTATAATTTTTTTTTTTATTAAAGTCTGGCACATTTCATAACCAGGACCACATAAATCCACATGTCAAACTTCGTACAAAAATTATAAAAATTCAACAAACTTTAACAATTTCATACATCCAAAAATTTAATTTTTTTTATTAAATGGTGCTGGTTATGTAATGTGGCAGATTTTTATTAAAAAATCATTAATATTAAATAAACAAAAGACAAATAACCAAAACTGGTCAAAATGTCACTTAACTTAATCAGCTTACCACAAGTGTATACGTATGCATCTTTATTTGAACGATACCAGAACAACTCTTAGCGGGTCTATCCTTAGCGGGTCTATCCAGTTCGGTACCACACGCAGAGCTGCCACACATAACGTTTGAAACATAGCTTCCGAATTTGAGCGTAACGAGAATTACCAGGCCGTCTGGTAACCAATAGTAACGTAACCACTCTCCCATAGTCGCTCATCGCGATGGAGGAAAATAACGAGTAAAGTATCGGTATCCTCATATAGCTATTAATTCACGAAAGTATTGCCCAAGAAGTTTCTTTCTATCTTACTAATTGTAGGCCGGAATCTGTCAATTTACCTTTGACTGTGGAAAATCTCTGTTTGTTTCAGTCCTTCGATGCTCTTAAGAATGGCCCGTATGGTTTAAGTGTATCAGAGGGTGGCTGATGGATTTAGGAATAACTAACGCGGATAAGAACTTCTTCTATAGAACTTCACCGCCCGATATACCTTGCCCCAGTCAAAAATGGTGTGCCTTCTCACTCTAGGAAGCCCACTCCAACGAAGGACCTGATAAATGCACTTTGAATCAAGAGTCTCATTATCGTTCGTTAGCATATGGGACATTTTTCCTACTTGTGCATTCAATCTCATTCGATGATGACACCTCTACCGTAGATCTTTCGTGAAATGTTTCTCACTCATGCGCTTGGAGAATCTTCGTCCCTGTTAAGGAACGAGTACTTCTGCAAAGTTGTTTTTTATTCTTTGCCGTGTCTATGATAGTCGGTGTAGATAACCAGAGTGAATTCTTTATTTTAAATCAGTGATGGGCAGCACCTTGCCTGTCCATTACTGTTTAAGATGTTCCTTTGTGTTTTGGGCCGAGGGGCTCTGTCTGTAGACAGTAGGTACCTTATTTTGTCTTCTTAACCACTAAAACTAACAACTTTGTCAATATGTATACATGGACAGGCACGTCTAGCTGTCCCTTTTTTTTTGTCTGCTGCTGGTAAGATCTGTGGAAATGGCTGCTTGTAATAAGTCAAAAATTATTGAAATTGCGAAAAATCGCGTTCCGAAACCTGTTTAGGATCACATGTCCTCTAGCGGGTCACAACTTTTCGGTTATCAAAGAAATCGATTTTTGAAAGGCTCTGGCACAATAAAAAATAAGCGTTCTTTCAACTACGGATCCACAGTAGCTGCAATAATCTTACTCATTCGAGGCTCTTACTTATTTAATTTAATTTCTTTATTGTTCAAGCAAATATTTGCTGCCAAGCACAGTTAGTTTCTTAAATTTACTATAGGCGCTAGTCATCCAAAGTTAACAAATACTTTGGAGTTAAATAAAAATATTTACATATAAACTCGAATATTATTTATATAGTACGTATATATAGTAGATACGTATGTACATATAAATTTAGCTAATAAAAGACAAAATCGCCAAATAAGAATCGGCGTCATAAATAGAGTTGCCTGCTAAATTCATTAACACTAGATTAGATAAGTCAGCTTTTGAAGTGCATACATACATACATACAGTCATACGTGCCCATGTATTTCCAAAAAATTCTGAGTTAACAAATCAAAATAAAATATAAAATGAGGAAAGCCGGTTGAGTTCGGAGAGAGAGAGAGAGAGATGCTTAGCCTTGTAGTCAGAAACTTGAAAAAGACGCGAACATCATTTGAAAATAGTCACGGCAATAAGATAAAATAAGCTGCTATAAAAATAAATCAAAAAAAAGAAAGGGAACGACGGAAAACCATCTAAGTATCTCCATTCTAGTACTAAGGAAAATAAAAAAAAAGCTTAAAAGTTGGTACAGACGAAGAACGAAGATACATACTTGGTAACATATGTGTGATGTATTAATGCACATATATATGTATGAACTTGTTGATGTTTTTCTTGAACGGCTAACCTTAATACCGTCCATCTAGCGGTGATGATACGAATACAACATAATACCCCTTTAGGAAATGCGAGCTTTTTGCGAAAAAAATCCGCGAAATGAAAGACACGTTAGGGCTGTTCAGGATCTTGTGCATATGCTCTTGCATCTGCATATTCATTGCATTTGTAAATTCACAACAATAAAATGCACACTCAAATCCTAAACCATTTCCATTCCTTTTTTGCTGGACAATCCTTTGCGGTTCTTTGCAAAAGTAATGCGAATAATAATAAATAAGCCGAAGTTGGACTGATGAAGGTTATTTTTTTGATGCGCGGGAAGGTATTCTGTGCAAAAATACTGTGGTCATGATTTTGCATACGCATGTTTTATTCGGCGGTAAAGTTATTTACAGCA